CTGTTTAAAATGCGCTGTTCCACGAATATCCCGAAATAATCCCGATAATGCCATTGTCCTATTCAGCAGGCGTCGCCCAAATGCAGTAATAGCATTTTCCTAATGGAAAAAATCTGCTTTCATTCCCAGGCAATGGAAAGTTCGTTTTATCGAACCGAATTCGCTGCCAATCAAATATTTCCTTCTATACAACGCAACCAATAGCAACATTTGCTCTGCATTTTATTACAAAAAAATCACCAGAAATACAGTAAGTTGGGGCGCTAAACTTCAGGATTAACATCTCAGAAATGTATGCCTAGTTTGAGCTAAAAAAAACCCGACGTTTCGCCTGGTGCGCCACAACCAATTTCAAGCGCTGTGCACCCGGCGAGCTTTCCAATCCAAACCAGAGGCAAAACAAGCAAGTTGAAGGCAAACTTGACGTTGGAATGGATCAGGCCAGGAAACGATCCGATAAATTAAATAGTCTCGAAGTATCGCCAAAAAACCCCGTTCACCTGCCACGAAATGAGTCAAATTTTTGGCTTGAAACGATCGAAATCGCGTAATTCGTTCACCTGCAAGTGTTGACTAATGCCAGACAAATCTCGCGCTGCAACAAGCCCAATAAATTGGGCAAAAGTCCGACTTTGAGCGGTTTTTATGCGCATTGTTGGCAACTTGGCTAGCTCTAACCCTCACAAATCATATCAGCCAATCAATTAGACATGCTTATTCACTGTGTATGCAAACGGGCAAACTAATCGCGGAAACTTGATTAATTATGAAGAAAACTGCAGAACATGTTTCACATCGAGCCGAAGATCTGAAGGAACTGGAGCACAAACTCATGCATTTTAGATGGGGAAAAGCGCCTACACAGTTTACGGCTTTGTACTTCGCAAATTTTTCATCGTCCAAGTTTGCCCATATGAAGGTAGCAACTGCGATCGAAACGGTTAATCGGTATAGAAAACTCTTCCTGCATCAGCTGTGGAGCCGATTCCCATTGGAGGATTTAACGAAAATGTAAAAACGTGAGTGAAAAGGAGGCCTTTAAGAATGATCCTGCCTCCCGACAGCCCCAAGGGAACCGCGCGTTCATTCGGTCCTCGGAATTTGTTGATTTTGTCAGGAAATGGAAACGTTTCTCTGGGCGATAATTTAATTTAGTTCAGCCAGGAATGTTGATCTGGAATTGTTAATAATTGATTTTCCTTTTTCGTCGTTTTCGTCTACTTGCCGCCCTTCTGCCGGCGAGGTTTGCATAGAATTGCCCGCAAGGGTTTAAGGAAAATTCGGCTATTTTCCTCAAACCCAACCTTTTGCTAATCAACTGAATTTGAAAACTTACAAGAGTTTTTATAAGGGTATTATTTACATGCCAGAGGGCGAATCTGGGTATGATTTACAAATAAATTTCACATAAGGCCTTGTGCCAGGCATTTTTCATTTTTTGACTCCAAGATTCGCATTTTTTGAATATTTACGTCGAATATTCTCATACTGTGTATTCTCTGGACATTTTAGAAACTTTTCAGCTTCTAAACTTCAATAAAAAATCACAAATCTGTTGGCCTATGGAACGTTACTTTGGCTTCTCTTTAGGGGGTAGAAATTTCCACTGAGATGGACCGGTTGAATCTTTCAGACCTTTTCTGAGACACGAGCGTTCTGTCCCAAAAAACTCTTT